GCCTGGAAGAATGGCAGTGGCTACCCTTCTGGCCTGTCCTTGGGGAGTCTCTCCTGACTGCTGTTGGAGGAAAAGGAATGCAAATAAGGGGCTCAGCCTACCTTTAGAACAAGCCAGGGAGTCGTGCAGGATGCTGGCTGTTCGGCCAGAATGCCAGAGCATTCTGGAGTCCCCCGACAGGAACAAGCCCCTCTAGGGTGACCCCTGCCAGTCCCTGGCACTAGGAGATGTGAGAGCTGAGACCTTAAGGGTTAAGGGTGTCCAAGGTCACTGCAGACTGGCTGTGGACTCCCCCACATTGTCTGCTCCTGCTAGGCATGCTGATACTCCTGCAGGCGGGACCCCAGAGAGGAGGGGGCAGGAGACATGGGCTGGAGAGGGGGCTGGGCGCAGCTCCGTGGTCCCTGCGCTCTAAGGGACCAGAACCACTGACATTCTTCCTTGTGTGTTTGTGTGCATGTACTTACTTGTGTGAGTGTGTACATATGTGTTGAGGTACTCATGCCATGGCACACAAGAGATTTTGAAGGACAACTTGCAGATGTTGGGTTCTCTTCTATCATCTGGAGATTTAACTTAGGTCGTCAGACGTGGTGGTAAGTGCCTCTACCTGCTGAGGCGTCTCGCTGCCTCGCCCACTTTTTTTCTCTGTACTGGGCAGTCGCCCTGGGTCATTGCAATGCCAGGGGAGGACTCTACCCCTGGACTGTACTCCCAGCCCCCCTGAGAGGGGGATTCAAGGTTCTGGGGCACTATGTGCAGGGTCTGGGGTGTTTGTTTGTTTGAGACAGGGTCTCACTGTGTAGCCCAGCCTGGTCTGCAACTCCTGCCTCTGCCTCCCCAGTACTGGGATTAGAAGCTGAGCCACCAGCCTGGCAACACCAAATGTGAAACTTGCAGGGGAGTTTGAAGTGCATTTTCCTGGTGACCTTTTGGAGCTACCGGTGGTTATTGTCACCGTCTAGGCTGTGAGGTCCTTATGGAAAAGGACAGTCTTTACAGATGGAACCGTTGGATATAGCAGCCAGGACACCTGAGGATGTCTGGATGAACCTGAAGGGTCCAGAATGGCCACAGAGAAGCCCGGTCATGACCGCATACAGGAGGAAGCTCAGAGCTGCTGTGAGCGACTGGGCTGCTGTGGCCTCCCTTGGCTCCCCTTGAGAACTCAGCTCTCCATGAACCTCACGGACCTGCAGGTCAGTGGGGACAGGAGCGCTTTGAGGTGACTAGATCTGAAGCCCTGTGTGTTAGGACCCGCCCAGCGTCCTGACGTCATCTGACGTCAGACATCTGACGTAATCTCCCTTTAATTGGAAAACATCCCTCCCCCTCCTCCTCCTCTCTCTGCACCTCTGTTTTCCTTTCTCTCCTTTTCTCCCTCTCTCTTTTCCTCTTTTTCTCTCTATTCCTCTCCCCTCCCCCTCTAATAAAACTTTGCACGTGGATGCTGCGCCTGCATGGCATGGGTAACTTTCCACAGGTCCACACTGCAGCCCGCTGCCATGTCTTCATGGCGCATCTCCCTCACCCTCGGGGCACCTTGGCCCAGCCCGTCAAGGCGTCCCGCATGCTGTATCACAACACTGTGGGCTTGTGGAGGACATGAAACCCCTTTCCATACTTACCCAGAGGCACAGCTGTCTTCCGGGGTGTCCTTAATCTTCTTTTCTGGGGACACCTTGAACAGGAGGAAAGGAAGAGGTGTTGTAGAATATTATTTTAAGGCGTGTTGCTTTTGTTTATGCTGCATGTGTTTAACTCTGTGAAGCTGTGTTCCTGTGCCTGTCTAAAACACCTGATTGGCTAATAAAGAGCTGAACGGCCAATAGCGAGGCAGGAGAAAGGAAAGACGGGGCTGGCAGGGGAGAGTATATATAGAAGAAACCTGGAAAAGGAGTGAAAAGGAGGAGCCAGAGAAGGAGGAGGACGTCAGGGGCCAGCCACCCAGCTACAGGGCAAGCCCGGAGTAAGAGTAAGATTTACAGGAGTAAGAGAACAGGGAAAGCCCAGAGGCGAAAGGTGGATGCGATAAATTAAAGTTAAGGAAAGCTGGCAAGAAACTAAGCTGAGCTAAGGCCGGGCATTTATAATTAAAAATAAGCCTCCATGTCTGAATTTATTTGGGAGCTGGGTAGTGGGACCCCCCAGAAGAATAAAAAACAACAACAAAGAGGTATAAAAACTTGATTAACGCTCTGACTTTATGGGGAAGAGAGCAGTCACCATGTTTAAGTCACAGACTGCAAACATCAGAATGGGGAAGGTTCTCTCCAACTCTGGAGCTCCAGTTACCCATTTTACAGTCAAGAAAACTGAGGCTGGCTGGGTAGCGGTGGCACACGCCTTTAATCCCAGCACTCGGGAGGCAGAGCCAGGCGGATCTCTGTCTTGAGATCTAAGACAGGCACCAGAACTACACAGAGAAATCCTGTCTTCAAAAACAAAACAAAACAAAAAAAGTAAGAACTTGTCTCAAAATATACATGTGTATGTTTACTTAAACAACTAAACAATTATTATTTTTAGAGAGAACTGTGAACACTATTTCCGTTGCACACAAGCAGCCTAGCCTAAGGCATTTTGTTAGAGCAGTTTGAAGGGACAGCGATGCAAAGACAAGGGGGAAAAGACTCTAAAAGCTTCTTAGGACAAAAAGCTCAGGTAAAGCCTGGCCACCTAGAGTCAGGAATGAGAGGACGAGACAGATAGCAGTAGGCAGCGGCAGCTCGCAGACTGTAGTCACAGTGTTCCAAGGATGTGCGAGAGCCGTAATTCTAATTCTAGAATCCATCAGCATAAACTAACATTTTTTCAGACATTCAGTTTATCAACTGTTGCCTGTTCTGGAGAAAATTGTGTGTGTGTGTGTGTGTGTGTGTGTGTGTGTGTGTGTGCTCAAGCAGGTAGAGGTGTGTGTGCATGTATGTGCGGGGCAGGCTGAAGTCAAGTGTATTCCTCTATAACTCTACTTTTCTGTCTTGTTTGTGTTTTTAGCCTAGAGTTCAAAGCTTGGCTAAACTGCCTGGCCAGTGAGCTCCAGGGATCCCTTTCTCAATCCCCAGAGCATCGTCATTATAGGTTTTCATCAGCACCCCTGGTCAGTCCCCAGAGCACCGTGGTTACAGGTGCACACCACCCCTGGCTTTTCCATGGGTCTTCATGTTTATACAGCAGGTACTTTTCTCACTCCCCAAAGATATTTGAAAGTTTCTTCTTTTAAGCTAGATAGGGGTTGGTGGAGAGATTGCTCAGTAATTGTGACGGCTGTTCTTGGTTGTTATCCTGACTACATCTGGAATGAACTACAATCCAGAAGTGGAGGGCACACCTGTGAGAGGTTTTTTGTTGTTTGGTTTGAAGAGGGTGAATCTACTTCTAGCCTGGATGTCTGAGGTAAGAAGACACACTGCCTTTGATCCAGCTCTTGAGGCAGGAAGGCACACCTCTAATCTGGGCCACACCTTCTGCTGGAAAGCCTATCTGAGGACATGGAAGAAGGAAGCTTTTGCCCTTTGCCTGCTTGCTCTTGCCTTGCTAACAGGTCCATTCCTTCTCTGGCATCAGAGCCTGCTTCTTTGGAATTCCAGCGCCTACTGAAGACCAGCTGAGACATCCAGTCTGGCGGACTGAGCCACTTCTAGAGTCTAGGACTTTCTGTTCACAGCCTGGCATTGTTGGATTAGTTGGAGCATGGTCTGTAAGTGACTCCAATAAATCCCCGTTTATATAGAGAAAAGTAGACTCATTCTATAAGTCCTGTTACTCTAGAGAGCCTTAATATAGCAGTTAAGAATAAGTGTGTGCCGCTCCCACAGAGTACCTGGGTTTGGTTACAGCATCTCCATATCAGCTCAGAACTGCCTGTAACTCCAGCCCAGGGGATCTAGTCCTGCCTTCTGGCTTCCACAGGCACCCGCATGCATGTGGTGCATATAAACACACACAGGCACATACTCTCACAAATAAGTAAATACTATTGTTCAAGTCCAGCTGAGACCAGTGTCACACACTGGTAATCCCAGCACTCAGGAAGCTGAGGCAGGGGGATCAGGAGTTCAAAGCCATTTTCACCTACAAAGGGAATATAGGGCCAGCCTGAGCTACGCATGACCCTGTCTCAAATACCAAAAAAACCCCAAAACACCCAGAAAAGAAACCACTTTACCTGTGGTAAAATACACATTACCAGACCGGCGGTGGTGGTTGGTTTGATTTGGGGGGTTGTTAGTTTGTTTTACGGTGGGCACGTCAACACATTGACAGACAGAAAAGCATTAAGGGGACCTCCAGTAACTCTAATCAATCCACCAGTGGGCAGTTTTCAAGATTCTGCCAGTCAAGCTCCGCTCTTCACCACCAGAGGGCACTGGTCTTCCACCATGGTGGTCAGTGTTAGTGGCCTCATAGGAAGTGTTCCTGTGGCTTCCCTGAAAGCCTCAGCCCTCTATAACAACCTCCAACTCCCAATAGGAAGCGAGGTGCATGCGACTCCATTCCTTACCTTAACAGAACAGAGACCACCATGGAGGGGTCAAGGCCACCTGTGTCTCCCCAGTTTCAAAGGAACTGGCTTTGAAAGACCGTGGTTTCCCACTTCTGGGGTTTCCTGGTGGAATGTGCCATCCTTTCATCAAGGCTGGCTCCTGGAGTGCCATCTGATGCACTGAGGAGACTTCTGACTGGGGTTCTCCACTCCCTAACGGTGCTCAGCTGCTTGCTGTCTTTCCTATGGGGCATTCCTTCCTCAGAGCCTCTGTGTTGCGGCGTGGACTCCCTCCCTGGTGCGGCGTGGACTCCCTCCGTGGCCTCCCCAGCACTGTGTGAGTCAACCCCATGTTTCACACTTCTTGAGGTCAGGTCAACACACCACTTCATGCTGTTTCCGGGCGTGATCTCTGCTCTGGCCTTGACTGCAGACACCCTGGTACTGTCTAGGTCTTGGTTTTGCTTGGGCTGTGACTCCAGCATCTGCAGGTCCTTCTGGTGAGTCGACTCCGCAGCTGTGAGCTCCTTTTTATAGCTTCCTCACCTCACATTCCACCGCAGGGCAAGCCATGCTCACCCGAAAGTCTTGGCTGGTGGCCACAGCGAGACTCCCCCAGTCCGCCTCGGCTACAGTAAATCCCAAAGCAGCGAATGAAATGTCACTGAGCTCCAAAAGAAGGTCTCACTATTCCACGCAGGCTTGTGAAGAAAGATATATATATATATAGAGAGATATAGAGATATAGATATAGAGATATAGATATAGATATAGATATATCTATACACTCTCAGGAATGGCAATGCCCTTCATGACTTCCCTAGGCCACCACTGACTGGGGGTTGGGAAGTTGGGGTGGGGGTGGGGATAATGGAGTTCCTATCCCAGTATGGAAAGCGCTGAATAGATGGTGTTGGTACTGAACCAAAGTCTTCTCTAAAAGTGCCCTCAAATGTCACCAGTGCAACCATCGACTCTGGGACTGAGACAGTGCAGTGAGTCGGTGACCTGGCAGAGCTCTGTCTGTGACCTTCCCCCAGCAGGGCCCTGCCGCAAACATTTGAAAAGGCAGGAGAACACTGCAGTCCCCTGCTCCCCCCCCCTCCATGGATGAACCCGTATCCGATAGCTGGTTTGACCCAGCAAGAGACCGCTGATTGAGGGGGCGCTGCTGTGTTCTTCAAAATCACTAAATGACTTTAAAAACCACCGATTCCAACCCCTAGATTTCTCTAGCTTTCCCATTCTGCAGAGTTTGAAGTTTCAGATCCCCAACTAATACCCCTGATGTCTGAGATCTACTGACCCTGGGAAAGGATCAGGGTCCTTTCTGCCATGGGCACTTCATGTGGCCATGAGATTAAAAATTAATCCAGAATGGTAACAGGAGAGGGGTGTAGGGCCATGACTTAAAAAACAGGAATTTGGCAAACCATCTCATGGTTCCTTAAAACATGGAAGGACACATGCAGGGAAAAACCTGTTTATGAGATGGTTTAGTAGGACAATTTGAAACAGACATAAATACACATACCTAAAATAAGATAGTTAATAAGGTTATCTTATCTTTAATTTTTTTCTTATAACCCTCAATTTGACAAAACCAAAACAAATAAATCTAGCCTCAAAAAATTCCTAAATAGCTAGGCATAGTGGCACACACCTGTAATCCCAGCTTTTTTTGATCTTGTACTCCATAAATAAGTACAATTATTGTGCCATTAAAAAATAAAATATATTAAAAATATGGGTGAACATGGAAAGCATTAACACATGACTGAGACTCAAGTACTCATTAAAATATTAGCTCAAACTACCTTTTGTTTTTATTCTTATTTTTTAATTATTTGTACTCTGTGTGTGTATGTGTTTATGTGTGTATGGGCACGCACGTGCGTGTTTGAGCAGGAGTGCAGTGCCCTCAGAGCCCAGAAGGAGGCATCAGATCCCCTGGAGGGAGTTACAGGGAGAAGCCAGCAGCCTCACAGGGGTTGTGGGAACTCAACTCAGGCCCTCTGCAATAGCAGGGAAAACACAGAGTGACTGAGCCAGCCCTCCAGCCCTCTAGAACTTTTTGTTTTTTTAAATAAAGCCCAGTACAACATGACATTCAGGATGATGATTCAGGGATAATGCATAATCAGACATGAAAGCATCCCCGTCAACAGCGGTTGCGATTTTCCTGTTTTCTTGCTTTCTGGTGGAGTAAGGGATCAGACTCAAAGCCTTATGCATGCTAGGTACAACCTCAGCCCTCCGGCTGCCGTGTTTAAATGAAGGCCCGTAAAAGGATTGGCATTTAATTTTGATGTTCTCTTATAAAAACAAAAACAAAAAACTCCTACGTGTTAGAAGGTTATGAATATAAGGAAAAAATTCTTTCCTAGTAAAAGAATAGGAATAGTATATCCATGCCCCGTCAGAGGGTCCTTTTTGCTTGGGGGGACATTCTCTCAAACATTTTGAACAAAGGCCACCTTCCATGGATGGTTCTTGAACTTGCAATTCTTGTCTATCTCAGTGGTAAGTCACTAATGCAGAGTCCTGTAAGATGTACAGCTCCTAGCTGGGCAGTGGTGGCGCATGCCTTTAATCCCAGCACTAGGGAGACAGAGGCAGGCAGATCTCTGAGTATGAGTTCAGCTTGGTCTACAGAGTGAGTTCCAGGACAGCCAGTGCTACACAGAAACCCTGTCTTGAAAAAACAAAAAAGAAAGAGAAAAAAAAAATATGTACAGCTCCTCCTGAAGGAATCAGCTGCAGATGTGAGCAGATGTAGGCCAGTTATACAGCTCAGAAGACAGAAGCGTGGGTACCAAGCTCTAGTACGTGCAGTGTTTTTAGAGGCAGGGGCCTCATTTCCTGGTTTTGTCTCCTAGGACTCTGGGATTCATTCATTAGTTTGAGAAACATTCACGGCACAGGGGACACATCTGAGGTATCCCCCCCCCAAAAGAGTAACCACTGCTTTGACTTCACACTTCTTGTGGTTGATATACTGTGCACCCCAATAAACTTATCTGGGGTCAGACCAGAACAGACACTAGATAGACTTAGAAGCCAGGCATCACTGGTGGCACACACACCTTTAGTCCCAGGACTTGAGATCTCATGTCTTGCTCAGGAAAGACACACGCCTTTAATGCCAGGAAGTGATGGCGGGAAGCAGAAAGGTATATAAGGCATGAGGACCAGGACTAGAGGTCTTTTTAAGCTTTTAGGCTTTTAGCAGCAGTTCAGCTGAGATCCATTTGGATGAGGACTCAGAGGCTTCCAGTCTGAGGAAACAGGATCAGCTGAGAAGTCGGCAAGGTGAGGTTGGATGTGACTTGTTCTGTTTCTCTGATCTTTCAGCCTTCACCCCAATACCTGGCTCTGGGTTTGTTTTTATTAATAAGACCTTTTAAGATTCGTCTACGACTTACTTTCTTTCTTTTTCTCAAGCAGGTTTTTCTGTGTAGTCCTTGCTGTCCTGGAACTCACTCTGTAGACTAAGCTGGCCTCAAACTCACAGAGATCCACCTGCCTCTGCCTCCTGAGTGCTGAGCTGGGATTAAAGGTGTGCGCCACCACTCACCTGGCACACAGTTTATTTCTTCTCTCTCTCTCTCTCTCTCTCTCTCTCTCTCTCTCTCTCTCTCTTTGTTTTTTGTTTTTTCGAGACAAGGTTTCTCTGTGTAGCTTTGCACCTTTCCTGGAACTTGCTTGGTAGCCCAGGCTGACCTCGAACTCACAGAGATCCACCTGCCTCTGCCTCCTGAGTGCTGGGACTAAAGGTGTGCGCCACCACCGCCCGGCTATTTCCTGAACCTAATCTCATACCTCTCTCTCTGCTACTGCTTGGGTCCAGAACCCGGTCAGCTGGACAGCCAGCGTAACCCTGGTGGATCGTGGTGCCCCAAGTCTTCCTCTGTCTGATTCACCCCTCTCCTGTGTTGAGACGTCTCCCCAACAACACGAAACCATGCTCCCTTCAGCCTTCAAATACTCACGTCTTCCTCAGTAGAGTCTACACCTCCTGACATAGCAAGACATCGATGCTGAAGACCTCTGCAGCCACACCCCAGCTAGTGTACCACCATCGTCAGGGTACACAGAGCCCCCCCCCCATTCTCTGCTCTTGTCCTCTGACCACTTCGGACTAAAGAAGTCACCCCTCCTGTGGTCTCATCGGACTGACTTCTCACCACCCCATTCTATACTTGATCTTTGGACCTTCTTCCCCACTGGATCCCAGGCCAGCGCTCTGGGCACCTGTCCTTGTCCCTAAGACCTAAAGCAAGCCCCACTTACCAGGGGCTATTTCGGTATCCGGTATCTGGGAGTTCCTGTCTCAGAGGCTCTTCCTGCTGATACTCAGCAAGACTGGGAAAAAATCCATTCATTTCCAAACTTTTGAAGTTCTCCAAGCACTTGAGAAAGACACTGAGAACTGGTGTCCTTGCATTGTCAAAATCCCCAACTGTTTGTTCTTGGTTTGGTGTTACGTAACTGCAGGCTGATGTAGTCTTAGAGGAATCCCGTTATATAATTCAGTCCGCCTCACTACGGCTCCCTTTTCCTGTTGTGAACCTCCACGGGGCAGCGGGGAGGAGGGATATGGGACAGAGCTCTGTTCCCGGTGGGGCTGAGGGGTGTTCCCACCATTCCAGTGGCCTTTCCTGGTAGCCCGGCCCGGGAAGACATTCTGTCTGCCTCTGCAGCCGGCAGCGAAGCCTCCGGCTATGGCTGGACACTGCCTCTGGCCTCCTCTCCCAGCCAGGAGCCGCTAAGATGGTTCTGAATTTTAGCTCTGTAGCCGCCAAGACGTGCCAAACCAGAGCGCTGGTTTTTTCATTGTTTTTTCTAGAACGGCGCGGGTGTCGTTACAAGTGTTCAGCAAGAGAGGAGAAGGAAGCCCAAAGAAGTCAACGCATCTTAAAAATAGCTTGCAACTTGGGAATTGCAAGCCAAAGATCCGGACGCGTCCGACTCGCCAGGGCGTTTTCGAACCACTCTTTGGCAGGTGATCCACCCACTTCCCGCCTCCTCCCATCCCCCTGTGCCGCCTGATGGCCGAGGCGGAGGCCCTCCCTTGCGGGTCACTTCCCACCTGAGCGGCAAGGATGCTGCAGCTGGAGTTGCTTGCAGCCCCACTGAGACGGGGAGGCGAGCCCTGGACCAGAAGAAAGTTCTAGGTGTTTCTGCCAACTGTTGTTGGTACTCGGTCCTTTAAGGCTGTGCCTGTGAGTCACCCCCGAAATAGAGACAGTAGCGGGCACCCACCGAGGAGGCAGAGTGAGAATATGCAGGGGTGGGGTAAGGAAGGGGCACAACGCCCTAGGATGGATGGACCGGGGGAGGGGGTGTGCACACTGGTTTAGCTGGGGACCGAGGGGACAGTAGGGACGGAGGCGTGGGTGGGAGGACACTGGGGCTACAGAGGGACGAGTCCGGAGGGACAGGCGCCCACACTCACCGCGGGAGGGAGCCGGGCGGGGCCGCGTGGGGTCGGCTCCCGGGGTCCCCAGGCCTCCGACTCGGCCAGCAACTGGTCCAGCAGGCGCAGGGTCTCCTCCCGGCCGCCGGGGGGCGTCGCGGGGCGGGGATCGCGGCCG